AGACTGTGCCACTGAAGTCAGGGCAGGAAGAGGACAGGGGACGGGTCAGCAGCTCCCCCCAGAGTGGGGTCTCTAGCACACTTACCTCTGATAGGGCTGGCAGGGCTGGTGTCCAGAGAGTCTGTGGTCCCCAGGAGACCTTTTGCATATAGCAAGCTTGGGGGCAGAGTGTCTGGGGACTTCTTAAGGCACAGGAGGGTCATTTTTCGCCCTCTTAATTTACTCTGATAGCCAGCCTACTTCAACCCAGAAACGAATTAGAACATGTGACAGGTGGAGAATACACTGAACCCTTTCACTTGTTGGAGGACGGGCTAGAGGTTGCGTTCACAAGGCCTTTGGGGAGCCCTGAGGCCAGGGCTGGGGATCCTGTGGCAGGGAGTCTCCCTGGCCTAGTTCCCTGCATGCAGCTGTGTGTCGTCTCCAGCCCTCGGGTTATTCCGACTCTGGGGTGCCTTTTGTTCTCCTCAGCAACTCCAAGTGGGAACTCCTGCAGGATCAGGAGCACGTGGACACGCACCTCTGAGGGGTCTTGCCCTGCTCACACCTTGCTGTGGAGCCCACACACCCCCTCCTGGGCTGACTCCCACAGCTCTCTCAGAGTGCCCTCCTGGGCAGCCTCGCCATTCCTCTTTTATCTATCTGTGGCCACTCAGAGACTGCTTTTGAGTCAGACAGATTCCGGCCCTTACTAACCGGACTTCTTGGAGTATCCAGCAGACCTTGCCTTTGCAAATTAGTCAAGTGGGGATAATAATGCCTGCCTCAGACCCTCCCCCTCGTACCCCCCGACCTCTAGCCCGAACCCACAAAGTCACCATACAGGGTTGTGCGGATTGGACAAGATGGAAAGTTGTTAGCAAAGAGCCTGGCGTGTGGTCGGCATACAAGAATGTCAGTGCTGCTGTTACCGGTGTCTCCAGGTCAGAGCTGCCTCTGGTTTCACATCTGCACCTGCCAGGACATCTGTCGGGTCTGCCCTCCTGTGCCAACCCAAACTGAACACTTCATGGTCCTCGTAAACCTCCCTGTGGTCCATGTCCAGCGAGGACCACCTGGCCAGCTAGCCGGGCCGAGATTCTGCAGGACGATGCGCCAGATGGCGCCTCCCTTGGAGGGCTTTGCATGCGTTGACGCGTTGTTATGGCAGGCCTCCAGCAGGCCTGCCTGGGGCTCCAGCGCCCGCACCCCCACACCACAGCCACGGGCATCTTTCTCAGTAAGCCCCACTGCTGCTCCCACCCCCGGGTGCAGCCCGGTCCCCCGGCTTGGTGCAGAGGGCCTCGGGGCTGCCCCCCCGTGGCACCCCCACGTGGCACCCCCCCGTGGCACCCTCGCCCACCTTTCTCTCCTGCGGGACTGCAGCTGGCCCCCCGCCTGGGCGCTGCCCTCCCTCGTACGCTGGCATCCTCTGTGCACTCGCCGCCCCAGGCGCCCATCCCACCTCACCACCTCCACACCCTGAGCACCGTCAGAGGTTCCAGGCTAGGGGATTTCCCAGGACTGTAAGATTTCAAGAAACCATAAAAAATGAAACAGCTAAGTTGAAAATAGCTCCTGCCACGTGCCATCACCATTTTATAAAAGAGACGGGAGCACTCCTTTAAAAAAAAAAAAGTTTATTTTTACATCATTTTGTGCATTTTCCATCTCAGTTGTAATCCCTGTGGGCTTCCCATCACCAAATCACCCAACCGTGTGCCATCACCATAGTCCGGTGCATTTCTTTCCCCAACTCCACCCCCATAAAATGTCTCTAGTATGAAGCTGTTCATTATTATCATTTTCTCGCCTGGTCCATTATGCTCCTGCTATGAGTGAAACCATCCAGTATTTTTCCTTTTCTTTCTGGCTTATCTCACTAAGCGTGATCTCTTCCAGCTCCATCCATGTTGCTGCAAAAGACGTGTGTTTCTCTTTTTTGGTTGCTGAGTAATATTCCACTGTGTATATGTACCACATCTTTCTAATCCAGTCATCTACTTTTGGGCATTTGGGTTGTTTCCATGTCTTTCCGATTGTGAACAAAGCAGCAGTAAACATGGGGGTGCAGGTATCTTTTTGAATCAGTGTTTTTGGGGCACTCCTTTTTTTTTAAGGCATACAAGAACTGGGGTGCGGGGGTGAGAGGATTCACCAAAGACCGAGTGGGGGAGCAGAACGGGTGAGACAGGAGCGTTCTGCCGTGCCATGTGGGTCACCCTCCCTGGCTGGGGATCGAACTTCTGCTGCAGTGGCTACAAATGGCTTCATCGTGGTGAGATTTAACCCCTGTGCTACCAGGGAGGCCAGCACAGGCCCAGGCTGACAGGCCCTCACTGGCTCCACACATGGGGTCCATGTCAGTGTAGCCTGTGTTGGCCTTTTGCCTCAGACCTATAGACCTCCCTAACCCTCCTGGGTAGAGCTTGACCCGGCTGAGGTGATTTTCTTCTCCTCGGTGAAGTGATTTATTTATTCATTTATTTTTCTTCTTCATGAAGAGAGGAGCAGTGATAACCTTTCTGGTTGGTTGAAGCTGTGAATCGAGAGAGGAAGGAGGTGCTGAGTGGAGTCTGCCGCTGTCCTCAGGCAGTGGGTCTCCTCCGCCCCTTTCCTGCCATTCACTGGCTCTCCCTTGTTCCCCCATGTCTCTGCCACCCTATGGCCTCCCTTCTTTCTTTTTCATCTTCCTAGTCTCAGCCCAATTCTATTTTCCCTCTCTTTGCCATCCCTGAGTTTCATTCAGTAGCTTATATCTTAATTGGTCATGATATACAAATTAGAAATATTTTGTTAGAAAAAAGATTGTGCCCACCCTGGTGGCTCAGCAGGTTAAAGTGCAGCACTGTGAAGTGATCCACAGCCACTGCAGCATGAGTTCTATTCCCGGACAGGGAACTGACCCACGTGGCACGGCAGACCTCTCTGACTCGCCTACTGCTCCCCTCAACACTGTACTTTGTTGATCTGCCTGTTCTGCTCCCCACTCTGTCTCTGGCAAATTCTTTTGTCCCCCACCTCTGGCCTGTACCCCATATCTTATATGCAGAAGTAAGTAAATCTTTAAAAAAATGTTCTATGTTCTCTTTGCACCTCCCCTCCAGTCTTATTGAGAGGTAACTGACATATAGCATTGTTTCAAGTTCAAGGCAGACAGCATAATGACTCATAACTTTTATATATTGTGAAATAAGCACAATAGAACTAGTCAGCATCTATCACCTCAAGTAGTTACGATTTGCCTCTTGCACTAAGAATTTTTAAGATCTATCCTTAATGTATACAATACACCATTCTATTGTATACAAAACAGTATTATTAAGTATAGTCACCACGCTGCAATTACACCCCTAGGACTTCTGTTCTCTGTTCTTAATTGTTGGGTCAGTTTTTATACAAATGTCATTGTGCACCAGGTCAGTGCTAGGTGCTCTCAGCATGTGATCTCAGGCCATCTGTGGGAGGGAACCATCCCTCTTGTTTAGAAATGAAGGAAAAAAGTCTAAAGAGTTTAAGTGTCTCTGCCAAAGTTGCACATCTGGTGTGAAGGCCTCTGCCATCTTATATTAGACTCCTCTGTTGTAACCCCCCAGCAAGTGAACTGAGGCCGGTTCTCAAATTAAGGGACATAAGTTCCTTGTTTCAAAATTCAGATGTGGGGGGATGAAAACCCTAGCTTGTATGGTCTTCTATTAATCTCACTGAACATTGTCATTCATTCATTCATTTTGTTATGAATACAAAAGTACACCTTTCAGTCCTGGGAATATTAATATGATAGAAAGATTCCACCATTAATGTTCCTAACAGCCTTTTCTTCTTAAGTGAGTCCCCATAAGTGAAATTTTACTAGTGACATAGTTTTTCAGCAAGATGCCAGGCCGGTACTAAGTATTGACTTACAAAAATGACTAAGATAGAGTTCCTGAATTTGAGAAGAGCTGAATGTAGCTGATTTCTAAAATAAAGGTGAAAGTTTCATTCTTGGAGTCAGAAATTTTTGCCATTCATTTTGCCCCAGATGCAGAGTGGGGAATAACAGCACCTGTCTCAGGTATTGTGAGAGGCTACTTGCTGTCTCACCTCAGACAAACTTCTGTCTCTGGGCCTGTCTGTGCAACAGGAAGGTGAGCTTAGCCCTCTGCCTCTCCTTCCTGCTCTGTGTGATTTTCTCCCCTTTGGCCTGGCATCTTCCCACGGGGAATTCACTCAAGAGCAGACGCACGTCACCCTCTCCTTTGCCCACTTGCTAGAGTCATTTTCTACTCCTGGCTCAGGGGCTCCGCATCTCTGTGTAAGGCACTTCTGTTGGATTTGTAACTTCTCAGTGGAAAACTGATGAACTGAAAAAATGTTTTAAAGTCCCGAGCATTCCACTCCTTGCTTGTGATGGGTCAACTCCTGGTCCCTGTGGCCCATGGGTGAGCTCCTACTGTTTTGGCGCAGTGCTTGCTGCTAAGCCCAGCCTTGGGCTCCTGCTGCTCTGGGGGTTCCCACGAGAAACACGGTTCCCATGGAGGGGGGCCCTCGTGAGGTCGTCTTGTCCACACCCTTTCTCGGACAAAGTGTACAAGGCTGTCCCAGTGTATGAGAATTTTTTTTATATTGAATACTTTCTCTTACAAAAGTAGATAGAAGGAGATTGAAGTTTTAGTATCTGTTGGGTGTATTCTTTCAATTTTTTCTTACTGTGTGTGTATAGTATATAACATACCATAAGTAATGATGAAAATACATTTCTTTAGAAATTTTGGATCATGCTATGTGATATCCTCTTGCCTGCATATTTCATATATTATGGAATGTCCTCAGCATTTTCCTAAAACATTTTCAAAGCTGTTTACAACATAAGACTGGGCCATAATTTATAAAAGTAGTCCCTAAGGGGGGGGGCGGATTTGATTATTTTCAACATTATACTTTTCTAAATAAACGTCGTTAGGACTTCTGCTCCGGGCGCTCTCCGGTAGGCCTTCCCGGCACATGAATCATGAGTAATGTGCCTTCTCTCCCCACAGAGTCCAGGCCTTCTCACACTGAGACCGAGGTTCCCCGCTCCACGCAGGTGAGTGGGCTCCTGCCCTTGTAAAAGATCAAGGGCTGCAGCCACCGGCTGGGACTGCCGACTGGCACCAGGCAGAATTTGGCTCAAATCTCACCTCTGCCGCTTACTAGAAGCGTGTTGTGGGCACGTGAAAATCTCCGTGAAATGAGGAAACAGCAGCATCTCGTCCAGGGCCGCTGTGACGGCGGCCAGTGCAGAGCGGCTGGACTGACCTCTGGAGCTGCTGTGTCGAGCGGCTGCTGGCTCCTCATTCTGAGGCTTAGCCCGCACCCCACATTCAATTCATCCGTGCCCTTTCCCTGGGGACTTCTGGTGTCATAATTTTCTGGAAAGAGGATTACCACTGAAGCTACTTAACAAATCCTTGAATAATCCAATTTCTCAAGCAACTACAGTGCCTCCCGTGGCCCTTAATTCTCTAAGTGCTGGCTGGGAGGCTCAGCCGCCCTGGAGCTGGGCAGCACGGGGAAGGTGTGCGGAGTCCTGCCTCCACGCAGGCTGTCCAGCACCGGAAGCAGCTCCGGGATGAAGTCCATGCCCATGGGCCTGAGAGCTCCCGGGACAGGTGTAGAGGAACTGACACTGACCACCAGCTTGCCGAGCCCAGCCAGGCACTGGCCTTGCTCTTACTATCACACTTGATCTGCAGGTTAACTGAGATTCAGAATGCCAGGACGGTTGTGCCTGCAGAGGGAGAAAACTGCCACCTGCTTGGGTTAGGAAACCTGCCCATGGTCACACGGCTCTAAGTGTGGGTCCAGGATTCAAGTCTGGGCTTTTCCCAGCAAGCGATGGCACGTCCACCCTGGCACCAAACCTGGAGGACAACTACCACTGCAGCATAGCTGCCGAACATCTCTTCTGGAAGGTGTTGGGCTCTCAAGCTCTTGGTAGGGAGGCGAGTGGACGAAACAGGCAAGGTATAGATGCAAATAACGCAAATAACAGAGTAAAAGTTGAGCGTGCGGGGTCAGAAATAGAGAGGCTCACTAGATGGAGAAAGGAAGCGGCTGGATGGAGCGGGGAGGATGAGGGTGGTGCCTCAGCTGGATCCAAAGAAACAGGATTACGGGAAGGAATGTCTCTTTCAGGTACCCACTACTTCTGCAGGCTATGAAGATTCTCTTTCTATGGGTTCTGTCAATGCCACGAGCCTCCCAGGTAAGGGCTGCATCTTCTTGCCTCCCTGTGGTCCAAGGGGAACAAAGGTCAGTCTAGTAATAGGATCAATGTCGGGAATATTCTCTTATTACTTTATACATCCAAATTTGATGTCAGCTAAGATAGAGTGAGGGGATCAGGGGAAGAGTGGAATATCTCACGGTTGGCTCATAGTACAAATGGTTGTGCTCAGGAGTCTGAAATAGAGCACATGGATCCCTAGTTTCAATGCTTCTGATTTCCTATACTTGTAAGATGTGAAAACTTAACATTTGCATCAAATAAGATCACAGGTGCTTTGTTTTCCTACTTGTGTGGGACTCGTGGACCTGGACTCCAGAAGGTCTGTTGTTGTGTAGCTCTGTGTGACGGCTCTCGGCTCTATGAGGAAGTGCCTCATTACCCTGACCTGGGTGGATTCGTGCCCATTGCTGATGCTGGCTGCCCAGGCTATGCCTCCTTGACTGTAAAGCCTTCTTGCTTAGGGAGGCGCCTGGTGCACCCTGGGATAACCTACTAATGTCTGCAGCTAAGCTCCGCACAGCTTCGACTCAGGAAATTGAATCCATCCCTGCTTTCCAGGAGCCTCAAGTCCAGCAGGGCATAGCATAGCAACTGTGACAAAAAGTAGCATGTAGGACTGGCCAAAAGGAGGCACAGACAAAGCAAAGTGGGATTTAGAGATTTGAGTGAGCATGCCCATTTTGGGGGGAGAGTCAGAAATTAGTCTTGAATCATGTGTGCGTGATGGAAGGAGGCTGGGGTGTTGAGGAGTGGCTGTGCTGAGGGGACCCCCCTAGTCTTCTCTGTCCACTCTGGGTAATGAGCTCACCCAACCCCCATGTTCTTCAAGGCCATCTGTGGGCGGATGTCTCCAAGTTTATCTCCACCCCAATCTTGCACTATGACCCAGAGTCATGTAGTCAGTTGCCTGGCTGACATGTCTGCTTGATACTTACAAGAACTTCACACTTAAGGTGTCTGAAACAGCAGGCCTATTTTGACCTGAACCTGTTCTTCCCCATCATCCTCATCTCTGTAACTGACATCACATTTGCTGAGTTGTTTGGGTCCTGTGCATCAGACATTCTTCCTCTTCCTCCCTCGTCCCCTCCTCCCATGCCCAGCCCCTCCACAAGTTCTGTCACTTCCACCTGACACCTTTCCAGAAGCTCACCACTTCTCAGCACCACCCGTTCTAACACTGGCCCAATCCCTGCTAGCTCTCATCCTGTGCAACTTTACGAACTGCCTGCTGATCCACTGGCTTTTGGTTTTTACCCCTAACAGAGTCTTAGAACACAAACCAAGCTCTCCCTGGAGCAACAGTGTCTTTCAGAGAAAAACCAAAGCACTAACAAAGCCCCTAGGCTCTGTGCGGTCAGGCCTCGCCTTTCTTCAGAACTTGCAGTATCTCCTTCGCATCCCTCTCATGCGCTCTGCCTCTTGCAATGCTGCCTGCTCACTCTTCCTTGGAGCACATCTCTACCTCAGGGCCTTTGCACCTGCCACTTGCGCTGCCCAAATGCTCTCCCCCTGACCGCCCCGTGGCCAGCTCCTTTATACTTCCAGGTCTCTGCTGAAATGCCCTTCTCAGGGAGGCTTTTCCTCACCAACCCATCAGACAGAGCTCTTTTTTTCTTCTTGTGCTTTGTCATCATTGCACGTGTAACTACTGACAACATATCGCATATTTCTTGCTTGTTTCCCTTCATTAGGTGTAAAACGTCAGGAGCTTTTTTGTTATCCTTTTGTTTATGGGCCTGAGGCTTAGAACAAAGCACGGCATATGGCAGATACTCAGTAAATATCTATTGAGTGAATGAACAAATACAAGTGTCTGAAGTATTGGTAAATTAATAAGCCAAACATACTGCTTCCTTTATAACTGTCTCTGTCAAGAGAAGGCAGCACACTGGGTGAGACCTGACCTTGTTGTCCATACCCACTAATGGGCTGGACTGCTTGCAAAGCAGGCGTCCAGAGGGCAGCTGGCATGGTGACTGGCAGGCAGTGCCCCCCTCAGCAGTGGAGGCCACTGGGGCCCAAGAGCCTGAACCCCCAGTCCCAGGCGACTATGAGTAACTTCATTCCCAGCAGGAGAGAAGGGTGACTCTGCTTAGCCACGCTCGCTGCACAGTCCTCTCTCTCTCTCTGGCAGCCATGGGAAGGCCATGGCTGCTTGCAAAGCCAGTTGGTTCTCTTGCTCATTCTATGCAATGCTTTGGTGAACCTAGGGCGCTGATGAGCAGCTGGGAGCGTGAAAAGACACATGTGACCTCTGCTCCCAGGGAGCTCAGCGGGAGGTGGAGCTGGCCACATAACAGGGAGAGGCACTTTGCCAGATTGGAGCTCGGGTGACTTCTCAGAGGAAGTCACTTGGTGTGAGACCTGGAGACCAAGTAGAGGGGTGCAGCAAAAGTGGGGAGAAGAGAGAATGTGGATGGATAGCCCCGAGACTGAGAGAACAGGGTGTGTGGGAGATTGAACGAGTTTCTTGCAGCTGGGGCAGGAGCACCAGCTGGAGAGACAGGCACCGGAGAAAACTGCTCCCAAACACCTGATTTAAAGTCCCCAAGCCTTCCCGATATTGGCCTCAATGCAGCTGCCTAAACCTTCTGCGCCTTGTGGGGCAGGCTGACTGCCACTAAAAAGCCATCTGAAAGTGAGTGGGTGCCTGTGGCTGGCCGCAGTTGTGCGGATGCTCTGAGCTTGAGTGTTTCTTGTCAAGTGGTAGATTCCTGGGGTCTGTCAGATTATGCTGGGGATTACTCTTCTAGCGTGGCCTCTGGCCAGATAACTGGCAAGCTTGTCAGGTGGCCTGTGGGTTAGCAGAGCTGTTTCCTCCTCCAGGGGTGAGGTTCTTTTGAGGCTTTGGACAATACCAGCTAAGTGGTTTCCTTCTCTTCTGCTCCTTCCTTCTCCTCCATTTTCTCTAGTGCAAGATTCTTCTTCTATAATGCTGCCCACATTCCTGGTGGCTGGAGGAAGCCTGGCCTTCGGAGTGCTTCTGTGCATCGGCATTGTCCTGAGGTGAGATGGGCCCTGGGGTGGCCCCGTGGTGTTCTCTTTCTCATGGAGTGGCCTGGTCCTCCTAGGGGGTGCAGTGGGCTGGAGAGCCATGGGCGCTTCAAGACATCTTTCAGAGGCAGTAGTCACAATGCTTGTGACAGCTTCAATGAAGGGAAGGAAGAGGTGGGTGGTATCATGTTTAACCTTCAAGCTTCTGGTTTCAGCAATTTGGCAGATGGTCACATGGCTCTGGTGTCATGCTCTAAGACTGGCAGCACTGGCAGAAGAGCACCTTAGTGGAAAAGGTGACTCCACTTTGGGTGCACTAAGTTCAAGGTGCCTGTGAGAACCCCAGGAAGACCAATGTGGTAGACAGTTCAGGAAGTTACAGCAGGTAGAAGGCAGTGGGAGCCCTAGGAGAGGGGGGATGAGGCTGCTGGTCCCACCTAGGGAATTCCAACTCTGAAAAGTTGTGTGGGGCAGGAGGGACCGAGAAAGCGACTGAAATGAAGTGTCCTAAGAGGGACAGAAGAACCAGGGAAGCCTGCTTGTGAAATCCACGGGGACTGTGTGTTAGATATGAAGCCACAACTCAGGCTCAGGAGTTGCAAGATGAACATGACCTGTCCTGTCCTCTGAGAGCCACATAAGAAAAGGACTAAGCTGCCATGTAAGAAACACCAGAGCACAGGTACCTGACCAGATAGCCTTGCAAATGCTACATGTCTCCAAAGAGCAGACCCCCAGGGGCCTGCGAATGTTCCAGCCTATTGCTCTTGGTCATGGTTAGGAGCATCATTGCTGAATTAATACCCAGGCCGTGTCGGGCCATGACCCTCTCATCCCACCCACTCCCTCTCTCCAGATAAATCAGCAAACAGTGCTCCCAATTAACAAAGAGAAAGAAAATTTCCAAACTTTTAATCCGATGACTTTACTGCAGGAATTTGCAGTTTTGCATATGTTGAAGGTGTAAAAGAAGTCAGGCAGGGTCCACTTTGGACAGTGGCCCGTTTTAATGATAATCCAGTGTAAGCGGGGGAGAAACTTCACTCCCGCTTTTCTTTCTCTTTATGAAGTATAATTTTCAAGTCCCAGCCCACCTCCCCTCCCCACACACACACTCCCCCAGTTGGCGATTGTGAGTGGTGGTGTAGGGGAAAGAGGGATGAGGTCTTTCATTTATTTATATATTTACTTGTGCACTTTTTTGGAGGGGCCCTGCTTCCTTTCCCTGAGGGCACGAACACTCCTGACCTTCTAAGGTCATCTGCGGCCAGCTGAGGGCACAGGTGCAGACAGCTAGGGTCTGGGGGAGAAGAGATCTGCTTTCTGGCTCCCCGCAGGCCCAATGGCAGACTGCCTCCAAAGAGTCTTAAATACTCTTGCCAGAAAGCACCAGGTACCTGGGCGGAGGGCAGTATGGAGGACAGGTGAGGGGCAGCCACAAGGGTCACTGGAGCCCCATTCTCGGCCGCCATGGGAAGCCAGGACAGGGAGCCAGGACAGCAAGCTGGCCGAACACCACCAGTCGCGTGTGTGCGGTGTCCCTGAGACCCAGCCAAACATGACGCCAAGGTAGGCCCTGCCCCTCTTCCCCACGACCCCGATGACTCAGGGCCGGGAGGGCCCCAGTCCTCCTGCTGGGGTCTGAAACTCCCTCCCGGGGGCCTGAGAGTCCCTGTCCACACCGGGGGTTCTGGCACCCGCTCACCCCAAGCCATATCTGGAGGAGGCGTCCCACCACTTGCCTGCCCGGGTGTCGGCAGGAGGGATATGAGCATGGCAGCCCAGGGGGTCCTCACAGTGACCCTGAGCCAGCTTGATCCCCAAGTAGATCTGAGTTGCTAGATTAGCAAGATGACAACTCCAGCTATGCCCAGGGTTGTTTTCACTATGATTTTGCAATCGCCTGTGAGCAAGATGTCCAAAGAGCTTCAGAAGATGAGGTTCCTAATTAGTGGAGCAGCAAGAGCTCACTATATCCTTATGCCTTTGGGTCAATAGGGGCCATATTAGCATGCAGGGCTCGAGCTACTGCAGTCTAAGGGATTCCTTGCCTCCCCTCTGTGATCTATTCTACAACAAGAGGACTTCAACAGGCCTTTCTCTTACCCTACCACAGACTGACTAGAGTAAATATCACGATTTCCACTCGTCAGATGAGAAAACTGAAGCTGAAAGAGATGAAATGATTGCAGCTTGTAATCTCAAAGCTCATGCTCGTTGGGAAGGATGTTGGGGTCCTTTAGTCAAATGTAAAATGTTACAAATGAGCAAACAACCTAGAGTGAGATGACTTGCCTAAGGACCAGCAACTTGTTAATAGCAGAGCAGAGAGTAGAATCCAAGTCCTGGGCCCCCACCCACCACGCTGGCCTACACTCCGCTGAGGTGACCTGTCCCTCCTGTCAGTCCACCGCTGGCCAGTGGCACCACTCGCAAGCATGCCACCTCAGTGTTCTGTTACCCACCAGCAGAAGCATTAGGTTGGGAATTGGCCAGTGCATTCGTCACGGACCTAGTTAGCTACAGTGTGGATGGTACCCGGACAATAACTGGCTGCTAAACAACCAGAGTGTCTCATAGGGCAAGCGCCTGCGCTGAGAACCTACTAGTAATTTATTTCTTAGCCTAGTGAGTCTTGATAATCTATATCGGGCAGGTTTATTTGGAAAGAAGCCAGTTACTTCAAGTGATGAAAAATCCCTTTACGCCCTGTCCCTTGGGTCAGGGCTGAACCGAAATGGGTTGGCATGACACGTGACCACAGGCAGCATGTGAGAGGATGTGAGAGGCAGGTTGCAACAAATCTTACCAATCCATACCACATTTTCTTCTTTACTGCTTTTATTTTGTGCCTCAAACCAAGCAGAGCATTTTCCTAAACATTTTTACCGTGGTATCAGAGATAGTTTTAAAAAGTAAATGTGCCCTTGGAAAAGATGTGTCTTTTCCTTAAGTGCATGTCCTGACTTACAGGGAGTCAATTCTCTCCACCTGCCCCTTACAACCCTCCTGTTCTCTCTATTTTATGGCATTGGGCACTGGGAAAATGGGGTTCTCAGAGCAGAGAAGTGCTGCTCTGTAGAAATACTCCAGGTCGTGTCTCAGTCCAGCACGTTAATCACCACAGACTCCCACCTCTGTGGTGTCCTTGGCCACAGCAGTGCGCAGTGGGTGGCCTCCGTGGCCTTGGTAGTGGTGCCTGTCAATATAAAAGATCCTTTCACTACATCTTGGCTTCCACATCTGTTTTTTTTAAGAGTGAAGGTTATCATGAAAAAATTTTTAGCTGCATTTTCTTTCTCTTTAAAAATTTATTTTATTTATTTATGCATACAAAAACTGGGGTGTAGGCCAGAGATGTGGGGGATGAGAAGATTCACTAGAGAGAGAGTGGGGAGCAGAACAAGTGGATCTACTGAAATACACTGCTGAGATACACTGTGCCATGTGGCCAGGGGTCAAACTCACACCACAGTGGCTGGTGATAGCACTGACTTTAACCCTCATGCCACCAGGGAGGCCCCTAGCTGCATTTTCTTTAAATGAAATATTATGATGCCTAAATATGTAGAACAGATGGAAGGTGGAGGCTGATATGTTGAATGACGTCTGCAGCTTAGCTATTCCTCCTTCCTACCTTCCCCCACACTCCCACACCCTCAGGACTTGTTCAGACCCCACCCTGGGCAGGGCAATGCCAGGTGTGGGCAGCTGATTTCCAAGATCCCATGACTAGTGACTTTTAGGAAAGGTCTCATCCACCCTTCAAAATAGTTCAAAAGAAGAAAAGTTTATCTTTCTCATTTACTCATGTAGTTGCTTTTAAAAAACTGAAGGCAGAGACTTTTCCATCTTGGTTAGTGAATACCAATAGAGACTTAAAATGATGAATATATGATTATTTGCTAAATACTAGCAACTTGTTGAATACTGACCAGTAGAAAGAAGAAAAAACCATACATATCCAAGACAACCACTGCTAATTTACAAAATGTGAATGTGACCAACATCAGCAAACACGAGAACCTCCCTCTCAGGGGGGCCCCCTCCTGGATCCCACAGGTGACCCGCCTGTGCGTTGCTGCCCAGATCAAGAATACTTTGTGTCTTCATGAATTTCCGCTGACTGTTTTTCCTCTGCATAGTTTCTTGCTTGTTTCTACATAACCATGATTACACTGTAGCTACGACTTTGCATCTTTTAAATTCAGTGTTCGTTATAAACCTTTTTGTCCAGATTTTTATTATAAATTCTTTGTAAACCTCACTTTATTAGGTGTAGTAGACTCCCCCATTAGTGGGTGTACCCAAGTTCACTGACCACCCTCCTATTGTTGGGCATCTGGTTTGGTTTTTGATTTTATAGACAACACCGTGTTGAACATCTTGGTGTGTGAAGTTTTTTTCCATAGCTATGCTATTTCCTTGGGTATGATCCCAGCAATGGAATTCGTAGGTCAGAGGGCCTGAATATTTTGAAGTCCAGAGTGTAATGACTCACTCTTGAGGACTCTCATTGGGAGAGGCATGGAGGGAGCAGGGGGGAGGAGGGGGAGAATTCCACCAGGAGTCAGTAAGGACCCTCTCGCGCACCCTTCCTGTGTGGTGCCTACGTAGTAAAGCCTTAAGTAACATTGAGAAGGAAGATTGTTTATGCCATTTTGATAGTAGGCTAAGAGCCAACTATCAATTATTTATCATAACAAGGACAGGAATAGCTTGTCGATACAAAAAGAAACCTAAGGAAAATCCCTAATCCTTGTTTTTGACTTTGGTTTCCCCTCCTCCCTCCCAATCCTGCCTGGAATAACTGGTATTGGTGGCATTGAGGGAGACCACCTAGCTCCCACTTGGGGGTTTTAGGCATCAAGGTGGGAAGCAGGAGGAAGGAGAGGGGCCGGGGCCCTGGCTGCCCCCGCAGTCAGAGGCCCCTCAGGAAGGAGACCTGACTGTACCTTTGAAGATCGCTATCACCGTCCCATCTGTCTTTGGGCCCGGTGCTCAACAGTGTGAACGAAGCTGTGATCAGAGAGATGTCTATCTCCTTCCTGTTTAACATTGACTTTCCTGTCAAGTGAGTCACTTGTGCCCAAGTGGTACCCATGGTTGAGTCTGTGAGAACTCATCAGCATGGTGGGAGTGGGCCCAGAGTGGAGTGAGAGAATACTGGAAGCAAGAGGCGAGCTGTTGGGGGAGGAAGCAGCCCTCCCTGCTGCGAAAGGGCCTTGCAGGTGATCTGCTCCTGCCAGCCCGAATTTGACTGAGGCCCATTTTCCTTTCCTGCTAAAAGAATTCTGTCTGTCTGCCTGTCTGTCTGCCTGTCTCTGTCTCTCTCTTTCTCTGTAAAGGAATTTGGGCCTGGTATTTAACGGGCAGTCACTGGAAGAGGACAACTTGGGTTCTTGATTCCTAAGGGAACACTCATGCCCACAGGCCCCTCAGTTCCTCATTTGTCAACTGCATGGACAGTACAGACCTTTTCTCTTGGGGTGTTTTTGGAACCCCAGTTCTTCAAAATATTGTGTCATTCCTGTGACAGAAACACAGCTGATGAAGTCATCATTGTTTTGAACTGAAGCCCAGGCATGGTAGGCCACCAGGCCGGTGCAGCACAGGGGAACTAAACATCTGTGTGTTTGTCTTTGTGTGTTTGTGTGAAGGTTCAGGAAGACATGGAGGCTGCAGGCGCTGAAGGAAGGCAAGACGAACATGCATCCGCCGTATTCTCTGGGACAGCTGGTCCCTGAGAGGCCCAAGCCCACCCCAGTGCTGGTGCCCCTCATCTCTCCACCTGTGTCCCCCAGCGGCTCTGGGCTTGACAGCGGGTCGAAGCACGGCCACCCAGATGCGAGGGGACCGCAGAGCCCTTATGACGTCAGCAACACAGACTACTTCTTCCCCAAATAGCTGGCCAGGTGGCCCTGGCGGGCTGGGATGCGGGCCTGCTGAGCTGTGGCCAGCGAAGCACAAACTGGCTTAGTAAAAGATGCTCCTCACTTACTGCCATTCCAGCTCATCTCAGGGGCATGGAGCCTCAGCTTCGTTGTGCAGAAAGCTCTGCCCGGTGAATACGGGTTTGCTGTGTGTGTTCAGAAGGAAGAGGTGATTGAGTTTTGGAACCAGCCTTCCCCTAATGAGCTGTTTACAGGTGAGCGTGGCTTCAACCCCATGGAGAGAGCCGTGTCAGCACCCTGCTGGACACTGTGACAGGTGGAGTGGGGCTGCTTTGCAGGCCTTGGAGAGCCCAGGCCTGCTGGGACAAGCTTCTGGCCACCCAGACACAGCTCCACAGGCTGTGCCCTCAGGCTGCGGGATGGATTTCCAGTCAAGGACCCTCAGTCACCTGTCCCTGGCCCACAGCAGTTTTCTTTCTGGTTGAAACCCAAGTGCCTTGGCATCCAATTTCTCAAGGCCTGACAGTAGCTATTTCATGAACCGCTGAGACTGGGGGAAGCTCTCCCCTATCTCTCTTCCCCACACAGCTGAGGGGTGATGGGGAATGGTATCTCAGGGCCTGATGGTTTGAAATGGAATTATAATTAGTTCCTCATTAGCATTTGCTAAATGTGAATGACAATCCTAGGCACTTGCTGAATCCAGAAGCAGCTGTACTGGCAGGAATTCCTTCTTTGGGACCCAGGACTTCAGGAGAGAAGCCGAGAGGCAGGAGGGAGGGGGTACAGGGACTCCCCGTCCCCTGCAGTAACACAGCCCAGGGGGGACTGGGCCATGGGGGCTAGACGAGGGGACCGCAGCCTCTGGAAACCAACATTCTCTGCTGGCCCCTTCCTCCTGCTCCCTAAAAAGTGACATTGGGGTGGGGGGGCTTCTGCCTTTGGTGAGAACAAACTGTTTTACTCCAGCTTTGTTTATTTTGCTTTCAACTGAGCCTGAGTAACTAGGGAAGATAATATTTATGTGAAAAGACAAAAGAACCGGGCAAGTATGTATTTTAATTTAGTTTTGAAAAAAACTGTGCTTTCTTGAGAGGGTGGAAGATCCAGTATTAGCTGTGTGTCAGTATATAAATAACCAGGGGAAGAGCACAAATAACTTTGTTTAGCACAAAACTGAGTCAAGTGAAAAAGGAGGAGAAAAAAATATTTTCCCCTTTAGAAAAGAGACGGTTTCATTCTAAATTTTAGAATGTTTTAGTTTTAAGAAGTGAAAAAGGCATCAGCTAGCCTCTTGTCTGATTTAGGGGAAAAGCAGCTAGTCACGCTCCTGGGGAGGAGAAGGAAATGGGGTCCACTCCCTGGCATGCTGGGAAGCCTCCCACGGCTACCAGGCAGGGTCAGCTGGAAACCCCCACCCCTGGAAGCCACGAGCCCTGCGTTATCAACAGCAGGCTCTTCTGCAAAAGTCCCGACGGTGGCCCCTTCCCCCTTTTTCTTTAGTTCCTCGAATTGGATTAGGTCGGCGTGTACAGAGGGCCTGCTCATCGCCTAGCGGTCCTGCCGCCGCTAACCACTGCAGCGAGCTTTTCTGTCAGGCGTTGGAAACTCAGTGACATTGCTGGTTACCCAGACAAATACCCTTGAGATCATGTGTCTCCCAATGAAGCTGTGATTAAAATCTGTCGAGTAACCACAAAGTAAAGATCCGCCAGCCACAAAGCCCTTCAAGTAGTCCGACAGCCCCTCAGGGCATCCGCCACGCCCTCAGGGTGCACAGGGTGGAAACGACCGTCTTCTTATTTCATCAGATTCGCACTATTTCTATCTTGGGCGAGCAGTGACTTTCACAGCTGACTGTCAGTTTCAGACCCTGTTGCTGCTTGAGATGTCCCATCCTGTGCTGGCAGAAGTCAGGCAGGTGTTTTTTTTTTTCTTCTTTTGTGTGTGTGTGTATTTTGTTTTGTTTCTCTCAAGTTTCTTTAATGGAGAACAGCAAAAGAAATGCTGTTCAGGGGATATAAGGAGGGTGAGTGTGTGTCATGGGTCTTTACCCCTTCCCAAGGCTTCACCCACATGTGCGAGGCAGGGCCTCACTGGTGGAAGATGTAGGTGCAGATAGCTCTTTAGGGCTGAGAACCGGGCAGCTTTGATCTTCAGATTGTTATTGCTTTCGTTATTATTGTAACTAATAACGAAACTGCTTTGTCTTTTATACATCGAGGAGGGTTTTTTCCCTTTTTTTTTTTTATAAGCTAGTGTAAATGTAGGAAGAACATCTGTCTCTGGGTGGAAGGGTTTGCTTAATGCACACACCCTGTACTCTCCTCTGTCCCTGAATCTACAGCCAGCGGATGTCCCCAGCTCAATTTCCCTGAGTTTCTGCCACACCTGCTGCCCTTGATCTTCAGCAGTGATGTTACCCACCAAACAGCGGTTGCACAGCCAGGTGTAAGATGATGGGACAGTGAGTTTATATTAAACACGACAGCTTACCTGCTAGAAGGGAAAAGTAGAAAATATGCTGGTTCAAGGTTTACATGAAAACCAGCATTACTTTTTGCAGCATTAATGAGACCTTTTTGTAAAATGTCCAGAGGGAAGCATTGCATGCGTCCACAGAGATGTAGGTAACCCTGAGAGCTCTTCCCTCTGGTGGGCACTTGCCTTTGCCAGGTTTCGTTACAAACCTGCTTTTTTTGTGAGACTCTGGGGTCACACTGCATCCCCACAATTTCCCTCATGTCCCAGGGGAAGGAAAACACCATTACAAGCTGTGGACTCTGTTGCTGGAACAGGATAAGGAAACTACCTGGTGGTGCAGAGAGTCTGGTGGTGCAGGCAGGGAGCGGTCATGCTTGGGGTCCTGCAGAATGTTCAGGATTGTCTTGTCAGGACACTTAAGCTCCTCTTTGGAGGCACTGAAGGTTGACCTACTTGGGCAGGCGTCTGGCACCCAGTACCATCTGGAGTTGATGGAAGTTTATCTTCATTTGGAGAAGTTGGGGCAGCCAACGGTCTTTGGAACATGAACCCCGAACCCAGCTTTCCCACATAACAGCCGGCAGTAGGGCTGTGACAGAAGGGACAGGGCCAGCTGGCTCAAGGCCTGTGCCAAACGCGCCTGAATGTCCCCTGAAGGCCCTTCCAGCATCTTGTCCTAGGGGTGGCCTGGCGCCAGTGCTGCTGTTTCTATGGCGACCTTAATGATTATTAAGGAATGCTGTCAGTTTTAGGAACATATGCTCAAGCCAAGATCTACTTTAGGAGGGAGGATTGGAACAGCATGTAGCAAGACTGTTAATTAATAGAGAAACCATATTTGGATGGAGATCACACATCTGTTAAATAGAATACCTCAACTTTACAGTTTTTGTAGAGAAATAATAGTTTTAAGTTTTGTTTTTATTTTTTTACCTAATTACCTTAAAGCAAATGCTAAAGGCTGATGTCTGTATGTGGGGCAAAGGGTCAGTATGTTTTTCTTTCTTTTTTTTTTTCTTTTTACCAGCTCTTTTGCATTTAAAGTGAAATTTGTAAATGTTTGAAATAAATAATTTCTAAAAATACGTTTGAGATGTAGCCATACTTTGGGCACCTGGGTTATTTAAAGGAAGACTTGTGATTACTGAGGGGGAAGGAGTGAGGAAAGGTGGATTTTAAGAAAGATGGGTTTCTAGTTGCATTTTGGGATGCAGTTTCCCTTAATGTAGGGTTAAGTGGCATCTGGGGAAAAAATCAGAGAAATTCAAGAAGCAATAGCAATTTCTTAAGACCTCAGCCTGCAAGTGCTTCCCACTGCAAGTTCTGGGCTTCCTGGAAGGGGCATGGGCTCTGCTACCGTCACTACCAGGCCCTGCGCCACAGGGGAGGCAGAGGGAGGGCTCTGTGCAGAGGGAGGGCTCTGTAGGGGGCTGTGCAGGGGGCAGGGGCGTGTTAACTGTCACCACAGGGACCTGCAGCCTCCACTGTCTGGCCAAACCTGTCCCCCAGTGGGAAGGGTCTTAGGTAGTGAATGCTTGGGACACAGCCATCTGCATCTTCAAACAGAGGGGCTCTGAGGTGAGGATGCCTTAGAGATAAGGGCTGCGGTGTAAACAGTTCAGGGCCGGGAGGAGGAGGAGGAAACCAAAGGGAAACCTGGATTGCGCAACTCGGCTGAGAGTCGAAGTGAGCCACACACACACTCACCCCCGCTCGCCCCGGTCTGGACAATCAGAGGAAAGCCCCGCACCCACTTACGGGATCCACATCTCCTCTAGGATGCCGGCATCCCCTGGGACTGGGCCCCGTCTTCCTGAAAGTGGCATGAAGCAGATGTCCCGGCGGTGGCTCAGCTGTGTGGGCCGGGCGGAGGGCGCAGGAGTGGGCCTGGAAATAGGAAGTGGAACTGGTACCCCCTCTTCTCCACAGCATCACTGTTAGGATGACATGGTTACCATGCTTTCTCTGGAAGAGTTGGGGAGAGCAGATGGTGATTCCTGCAGAGGAAGGCAAGAACACTCAGTTATTGGAACAGCCACTTAAGAAAGCGTTTTCCCTACTTAGTGAGGCATGAGGAGACCAAACCTTTCTCCATTTCCCACTGCGTTTGCGTCCCGCACTGGCACAGCCTTGCGGCTGGAAGACTGTAACTGGGACCGCAGGGGTTAGCTGGGGCTCGACCGCACTCAGGGAAGGCGGCCAGGTGGGCTGGCTGTGCGGCTCGTCGCTTAAACAAGCCTCACTGATGGCAACGACCTGGCACCATCCTTCAAATGCACACCAAACCTAGTTTCCCCATGAAAGTCCCTGTCCCCTGCAGATATATGTCACTTAGAAATAAAAAAACAACCCCCCCCAGCCATGTCTGTATGTCTGTTCCATACGGACAGCTCAAGGGACAATCCAAGATATGAATAAAATGAAATCACCAACTCTCGTGTAGAGGTATATGACATATGCAATTAAGGATGTTTCTTCTAAGAAAACTTTAAATTGCTTTAGTAAAGCTGTCCGATGGCCACAAAGAAAAATAGCCTGCTGCCTCCTGGGAAGCTGTATTTGAACATTTTATTGTCAGGTGTTTTTTTTTTTAAAGATTTATTTATTTATTCATATAGAACTGGGGTACAGGCCAGAGATGCGGAGGGTGAGAGGCTTCACCAGAGACAGAGTGGGGAGCAGAACAGGCAGATCGACGAAGTACACTGCTGAGGGGAGCAGCGGGCGGGCCAGGAGAGGTCTGCCACGCCATGTGGTCACCTCCGGGCCAGGCGGGGATTGAACTCATGCTGAAGTGGCTAAAGCTTCTTAGTGCTGTGCTTTAACCCACTGCGCCACCAGGGAGGGCCTATTGTGAGTTTTTTTCTTGTTTTTTTTAAATTTTTGGTTTTTATTATTGTGAGTTTTAAAGAATGAAAGTTGCTGGGAGGACAACCTTGGTACTGAAATGTAAGTGCCATGCAGCGCAGCTTGAGAAGGATGAGTGGGGTGAGTGGGACGCGCTGAGGCGGCCTGGCCTTAGAAGGGGAAGGGCCACCACCTGTATGCCTGCCCTGGCGACCAGCTGCACACACCAGGGACAAGCCAGCAAGGATTCAGTTCAGTCTGGGGTGGATCCCAGAAAGCAGAATAAACTCCCCAGCTGGCTCTGGGTTTGTGGTGTCTATGAGGACGAGGGTGCCCGGGGGCACATTTCAGGGGGTCAATCTGGAGGTCAGGAGAAGCCCAGGCTCCCACCCTGGACCCTCAGAGGCACAACAGCAGGTGTCTGTCTGAGTGTGGGCTGCCTGGGGAACTCTGTTGCTAGATGCCGCGGGCCTGGCATGCGGGTTCTGCAGCCACAATTTACTACAGGCACTGCTGGGAACATCCTCCGTGGGCAGCAACCGCCTCGTCCCAGCCCTGTCGGTTACCTTGAAGTCCACTGTCCATTTTGGGCAGGTCTATAAAAATTACCTAAAATAGGGGCCCTCCCTGGTGGCGCAGCAGGTTAAAGCACAGCACTGAGAAGCTAAAGCCACTTCAGCATGAGTTCGGTCCCCGCCCCGGAGGTGACCACATGGCGTGGCAGACCTCTCCTGACCTGCCCGCTGCTCCCCTCAGCAGTGTACCTCATCAGTTGGCCTGCTCTGCTCCCCGCTCTGTCTCTAGTGAACCTCTCACCGCCCCTGCACCTGTGGCCTGTACCCCAGTTCTGTCTGCATAAACAAATCTTTTTTAAAAAATTACCTAAAATAATGGCTGCCATTGTAGACCCTGCCCCATGTGCTTTACAAATGGGATGTTCTTCCACATCCTGCTGACACTGTGAGGTAAGCATTTTCACCTGTTTGCAGAGGAGGCCCCTGGGGCTCATACTGGTGAAGCTAGTGGACAAAACACCCGAGCTAGTTAATGGAGACCCGAAGCCTGGGTCTGCCTGACTCTAAAACTGGAGTTCTTTATCTAGGTGTGGTTAAGGACCCCAGCCATTGGGTTGGATGGGGGCTCCTCTTTCCTTACTCCTTTCTCAGGCCAGGTGCCCTTACCCCTGGCTGGTGGAAGTAGGGTGGGGGCCCACATCTGGAGGGGAAAGAGACCTGAGCTCCTTACCTGCTTTGCCTTGTCTGTCAGTGTGTATGGGCTGGACCAAGAGAGTTCTGGGGCAGCCAGAACCCCAACTGCCCATCAAACACAGGCCTCCCAGAAGATGGGTGGCAAAGGGGTAAACAGTAGTTAGTTCCATACACATCATGATCCTTGGTCTCTCTTCCATCTATACCAGCCATACTTATCAACTGCTCAGATGACCTGTTTTCCTACTTCCTTGGTATGCACTTCGTTGAACTTCCTTGAAATCCTGGAATTGTGCTTTATTTTTAGAGTGGAAGCCTTATTAGATCCACTCCGTCCAAGAGGATGAGTGGTCACCGTGCTGTAAGTCACGGTTCTCCCTGGGCAGTGCTTGCTGTGCCAACTTCGTGGCTGTGAGGAGAACCAATCCCTTCCCCTCGGAGTTGGCAGTTCCCCCAGGGAGCTACATAATTAAGGAGCAAATGCTGTCCTTGGGAACTAATGACTAATCTATTTGAGGGAGTCAGGGAAGGAAGGAAGGAAGGGACAGAGATGTGGAAGTGGAGAGTGAAGATGGGGGAGCAGAGTTCCGAGGAGCGGGCTGCTGGCTCCTTCTGGCAGAGGGCCTGGGAGCAGGAG